CTTCATAGGTTGGGGGAACCATGGTAAGAAACTGAAAAAATAACACAGATACTTTTCTAGAAAACAAATCCTCAGACCCTTCAGTCAATTCCTACAAGAGATGCTTTAGGCCAATTCTCCCCCTTTTACAGATGAGGAGACTGAGGTCCAAAAGGCAGGAAACTGCTTCCTTAAGATCTTATAGCCAATTAGTGAGAGATTCAGGACTTGAAAGCACGTCTTCTGGCTTTAACCGTAGAGTTCTTTTCCAGATCAAGTCCTGCCTTCTCCATCTTCTCATTGTCTAGAGCCCTTCTTGTCTGGTCAGCAACTTTGGCCTTCCTTTACTTTGTCTCTCCAGTTAGATTTCATGCTCCTCCAGGGTAGGGACAGGTTATATCTTATGCATCTTTCTTTTAGCCCAAAGTAGACACTCAAAAAATGTTTTTAGAGGACATGATATCATCTGAGGTCTTTTCCTTGGATTGGTAATGAAGAGTAGCCATAAGGATCCATTATCAGTGACTGCACTTACATTCTGGGCTTCCCAACAAAGTTTTGCAAAAGGGCTTTCAGAAACATGGCAAACTTGGAAGAATGTCAAAGAAAGTGAAATTGGCTGTGTCTTAAGCCTCATGTTGAATCAATCGTATATTTTTTTTAAAGAAATGCAAACTGTACATGATAGCTAGTGTTTATATAGCACTTTAAGTGTGTAAAGAACATTACAAATATTATCTTATTTTATCTTCACAACAACCCTGCAAGGTATAAGTGCTATGATTATCTCCATTTTATAGATGAGGAAACTAAGACAGAAACTTGCCCAGGGTCACACAGCTAGTGAGTGTCTGAGCCAGATTTTAATTCAAGTCTTCCTGATTTCTAGCCCAATGCTCTATTCATTGCCACAATCCTCATAGTTTCATGTACACCCTTTTCTTCTTGTACTATATGGAAATGCGTCTTTTGTTTTGTGTTTGTTAAGTTCAGAGGGTTTTTTTTGTTTTTAAGAAATTGACCACATCTTACTAGATAGGAAACAGACGGTTACTGATGTGGAAGGTATTTCAGAATCTGTTATCCTACAAGTAATTGCAGGATTCTGGGTCTCTGGGGCGTGGTGGAATGGAAATGCTAGATGTGATGTCAGAAGACTTTGGTTCCAACCCCTGCCATGTATGAGCCATGTGACTTTGGGCAAAGCATCTAGGGAGCGTTCAAAGATTTGGCCAGATGGAGCTATGAGCTAGATCACCGTTACCATAGCAACCTATTCTCAGTCTTGATAGTGATGGAACCATTAGACCTGGCCGCTTAGCATGCAATTATAATGAGGTATCCGTGAGGAGTTTTACAAGGTAGAAAAGTGCCTTCCCTCTGAGATTACTATTCATTTATGCTGTATATACTTGTGCGGTATGTTAGTGCCCTCCAGCTTCAATGTGAGCTGCTCAAAGGCAGAGTCCATGATTTTGCCTCTGTTTGTATCTTCAGCATTTAGTACAGTGCCTGGCATACAGTAAATGCATACTAAGTGCTCATTGATGACTGCTTGAAAAGCTTCTCTGCTGAACCGCTGTAAGAGGAGAGGGGTAGACTTCTCCCTCCCTCCTCTCTGGCTCCCATCTTTGGAATGTGGGCATTGTCTAGCTTTGTTTTGGGGGGGGTGGCTTTTTTCAGACATACTCTCTTCCCACTGAGCTTGACAATCTCTAATCACTACCCTCAATTCAACCCTTTGCAGGGGTTTCTCTTCGCAATGTGTGCATTAGGGCAATGGGCACAACACTATAACCCTAAGGGGCAGCTCGCTCAGTCTCTCCTTCCAGACAGCTACTATTATTGGTTCACCTTTCCAAGATGGACCACTCTGGACTCACTTTTTTCCCACTTGGGAAAATCTGTAACAACGTAAAAATGGATAAAATGCTCTCTCACTGAGCTCTAGAAGCCCTGCCCCAAGGCCAATAGATAAGGTCCATTTTCTCTGTCCCTTTCTCTCCCTGCATACCTTGCCATAATTTTTCTGGCTTCCTGTTGACTTTAGTGAAACATACAATGCATAAGATGTTGTGATTGGTCGAAATTTTATCTGAAGCTGGCATTGCATAGGAACTAATCAGAAATGTAAACAAACTATAAAGAACAAATGAGCTTTGGACTTAAATCTTACAGAACAGAGAGAGGGAAGGAAAGAGGAGCATGGAAAATCACTGTGTCCAGCCTCTCAAACAGGCAGCTCAGCCAGAATCAGTCCACTCCTCAGGGTAGAGGAGGACAGAATGATACCCAGAAATGACTGATGTATAAAAACCAAAGCCATCTTTAAAACCTATTTTTAAATAAAGAAAAAAGACCTATCTGCACAAAAATATTCCTGGTAGAACTAGTTATAACAGCAAAAAAACTGGATATGTACTGAAAAGATACAGCAAAAACAGAAGTTACAAAGACATCCAGGTGCACCCTGACCCTGTGTACCCACTCAGTCCCTCAGGAGAAAAGCTAAACTTAGAACATAAAGGTAGCGAGGCTCACACGTAACATATTCCTGGCCCTGAGAATCCTCATATTAATCAATCAATCCATAAATCTTTATTAAGCACCTACTATGTGCCAGGCTCTGTGCTGAGCACCTTCTAGTCCCGCCTGAGGTCACGTCAGGGCATTTGCACGGGTGATAGATGAGTCTCTGCCTTGCTAGGTGCAGCCTCTCAACTAATGGGTCAAACCACTGCTAGGCTGGCTCAAACAGGTCACTTAGTGGATACTGCACCTGCTCTCCAGACTCTACCATCCCTGCGCCAGTTCTCCCCCTCCCATTTGCTACGATCCAGTGACACACCAGACACGCCATTTTCCAATTCTGGGCATTTTCTCTGTCTGCCCTTCATTCCTGGAATCCCCTCCCTCCTCATCTCTACCTCCTGGTTTCCTTCAAGTCCTAGTTAAAACGTCACCTTCTCCAGGAAGTCTGTCTCGATCCTGTTTAATTCTGTTGCCCTTCCTCTGTTGATTATCACCAATTTATCCCATGTATATCTTGCTTGTATATAGTTATTTACCTGTTGTCTCCCTCATTAGACTATAAGCTCCCTGAGAGCAGGGACTGTGTTTTTGCTTTTCTCTGAATCCGTAGAACTTAGCACAGTACCTGGCACTTAGTAGATGCTTAGTGTCAGTGAGATTTCTCTGATGATTCTCATAGATTTCCAGAATACACTAATCCCCTAGCCACTTCCCTCTTAGAATACTTCGCCTAAGATTGGGAAAGAATAAACACAGAAGAAAGAAAGGCGCTATGTGTTCATGAACACATGGTAGGCTGGTGGGAGATAGGACAGCTGTACCCCTCCCCACCTAAGAGTTCATAGCAATTCCCACCTCCCTAACCAGCCAGGAGGGAAACATATCAAAAGCACTGAGGGAGGAGCTTAACTGTCCTTTTGTATACGAACTCACTTTGGGCTCTGCCTCCTGAGTCATCAGCCTTTCAATTAGCAGCCTTTCTGTTGTCCCACAGTATGAACCCCAGAATCATCATGGCCAAATCAGTGTTTGATATTGGGCTGGCAACTCAGGCCTCAAAGTCTGGACCTTTATGGGCCAGAGCCCCCAGTGGGGTAGAAGTGGGAAAGAGATTGGACCTGGTGGTTGCTAAGCCCCAGGCACTGGGTGGTCACCTAATACATCCTTGTTAAACTGAACCGTACAATCCTTTGGTGGAGACAGAGGGAGTATCTCAAATCTTGTTTTTGACGGGAAAAATGAAACGGAGAGAGGCTGACTGATTTGCCTAAGGTCTCATGGCTGGCATGGCACATAGAACGATAACTCAGCTACTCTGGTGCCAGGTATGTCTCCAGCCTTGACCTGCCTTTTGAGACCCACATCTCCAGCTCCAGTTCAAATGTGACCTCAGATACTTGATACTTACTAGCTGTGTGACCCTGGCCAAGTCACTTAACCCCATTGCCTCACCCCCCCCAAAAAAAGGCAAAAAAAAAAGAAAGAAATTCAAAGATATATTTGCGTCTCTCCCATTAGGATATCAGCTCCTTAAGGGAAGGGATCATGTTTTTGCCTTTCTTTGTGCCCCATGTGACTGACTGACTTGCCCCCAAATCTACTTTTTTTTTGTCAGAAGCTCCACCATTCACCCTAATTAGTATTCTGTGACTGAAACTTTGGTGTTCTCTTCAGTTTCTCTTCCTTAGAGGCAATGGTGGCACAGTAGATAGGTCTCTGGCCCAGCAGTCAGGAAGAGCTGAGTTCAAATTTGTCCCCATACACTGACTGGCTGTGTGACCTGGGCAAGTTCCCCAACTTCTGGCTGCCTCAGGCTTCTCAACTGCAAAATGGGGAGAATAGCATCTCCCCACCAGGGTTGTTGTGAGGATCCAAGGAGATGATATTAGCAAAGGTTTCAAGGGTGTCCAAGGCTCCTCCTCGCAGGCATTTACATGCTCCTAGTCCTCTTCTATCTCCTTGGTGTCATCTCCAGGGGTAGTATGGTCTAGCAGAACACTACACAAAGACTAGTCACAAAGACTCAGGTTCAAACCCCATCTCCACACTTACGAGTTGTGCGACCCAGGGCCTTCCCCACAAAACAAGGGCCTTTGATCGACTGACTGGTCTCAGCTCCCTCCCAGCTCTGTCTAGACATTGCGGAGAGACTGTTTGGAGGAAAGGCTGAACCAGATGGCTTCTGTGGTCTCTGCCCACTCAGATTCTGGGACTGGCTTAGGCTCCTATTTCTAGATAAAGAGACCTCGGAGCCCACCTAGCCCAACACCCTCACTTTACAGGAAAGGGAAACAAGCCGCAAGAGGGGAAAGTGGGCTCTGGAGGCCGGCCCCCTCCCAGGCGCCGCTTCCCTCCCCATGGGGAACACTCGAGCCATTCTCCCTTAATCAATCACAGTAACTAGATGGTTCCTCCTTAAGAGAGAGAAGAAAGGGGAGCCTGGTTTCTAACCGACTTCTTTGACTCCTCCTCCTAGTCATTTCATTTTCCTTAGAAGGCTTTCTCTCCCTGACACTGTCTGTCTATCTGTCTGTCTGTGTGCCTGGCTTTCTGACTTTCTCCCTCAGAGACAGTCTGCGTGCAAGCCAGAAGGACGTGGGATGGTCAAGAGACGCCAAGAGCCAGGGAGAGAGACACCTAGTGCCACGGGAGCCCAGGGAAACCCAGTCACCCAGCAAACTTCCCGCTGAACCTCCGGAGGGGGCAGAGAACCCTGAATCGACAGAGGAGACGTGTGTATGTGCTCGTGAGTGTGTGAACGGAAGGAGATGAGGAGGAGCCCCTGAAACCAAGGTTTATCTTTCATCTTCGCACAGGGGAAAAAAATGCAACTTGAGAGGTGAGCTGTGGGGTTGCTTTGTTAGAGGGTGGGGAAACGGGGTGATCAGAACTTGTGCTGTGAGAACGTGAGGGCTCCCCCTCCGTGTGAGCGAGGGGTCCTGGGGACTCACCTGGTCCTTCGTCCCGGGACCAGGGCTGCACCTGCGTCCTGGTAACCCCAGAAACCAGACAAGAGAGCAAACAGGGTCGGGCAGCCGGGCAGTCCGGTGTCTCTAGTGGAAGCCCGGGCACCGAGTGCCATCTTCCCCAGGTCATCGCACGGGTTACCCATCCATCCACGCAGACCTCGAGCCAGAACCCCAGCTCTCCGTCGACCTGGGCAGCTGCCAAGACTGGCCTTGGGAGCCGGGGCAACGCGCTGATTCCCTGATTTTTGTTCTTTGAACCCAGTTGGTCCGGCTGGGCGCTAGCCTGTGTTTGGAGTCAAAGGGGATCTGACTTCATTCCCAAAGCTCTCCTCTTCGAAGGGGTTCCCCGGTCTGCCCCCAGACACCTCCTCAGGGACCCCCCACTCCCCCTGTCGAGCTTGGACCCTCCCCTGGTACTCCTAGGTTAGTCGGTCCTGGCACTCACCAAGGGAGCCCAGAGCGAGGGAGCTGGGGATGAATCACAGAGGGTGGGGTGAGAGGGGGCCGTCCTCGGCTCGCCCTGTGGGCTCACCTGGCAGAAAACAGCCTCGGTCTCCACCTTTCCAGGCAGGATGCCTCCCTGCCGCCTGCCCTCGGGCGCGCAGCGAGCCTCCCGGCGTCAGGCAGCTTTCTCTTCCTAACAGATGGAGGTTCTGCGGCGCTCATCCGTGTTCGCTGCGGAGGTGATGGAAGTGTTTGATCGCTCCCCCACCGATAAAGAGCTGGTGTCCCAGGCCAAAGCCCTGTGCCGGGAATACATCCACTCCCGGCTCATCCGGGCCGGGCTGGTCTGGAGCAAGCCCGAGTACAAGGCGCCGACGCCCGGTGGGAAGCTGGCCGAGGTCTCCAGCATCCTCCTCCGGCTGGGTGAGTGGGGGCAGCAGCTAGGGCAGGCGCCAGCGTCTGCCTGATGCTGATAGGACTCAGTTGTGACCTGAGAAATGGGCCCATTTCCCTTACCTTCAAACGGCTCTGGCTAACGGCCGCCCCAGTGGGCTCGGAGGCTGGGGCCTGGGCTCACTTCTGGTCTCAGCTGTGCGAGCGGAAGCAGGGCACTTAAAACATTCGTTTCTCTTCCCCCCCCCCCCCCCATCTCCTCTTCTGTAAAATAGGGATAAGACATCTATCTCCCAGGTCATGAGGAATGTACTTTGTAGATCAAAAGGTGTTGCTAAAATGTGAACAATGTGGAAAGGATGCTAAATTTTGAGTCAGAGGGCCTGGGTTCAAATCCTGACTCTGCTACTAACGAGGTTCAGAGAGGAAAGGGACCATGAAGACCGTTTTTTCAGTGAAGAAACTGAGGGCCACAGAAGGGCAGTCATTTGCCCGTGGTTACAATGAGAAGGTCAGTGAGCTTGGGGAGGGGGGGCATCCTGGATGGCTAGGGCTCCTTAGGAGATCTCCAGTTCCCCTGGGACAGTCCCATCCTAGTCTCTGAGGAGTCGGCCTGTTACAACATGGGCTGGGGAGAGAGGGGAGGGCCTAGGTGCAGGGACTGGCTCCATCCCATGGCTTTACCAGGCTTTGACCCTGCCAGCACAGCTGCTTCTGAACAGAACTGGCAAGGCTTCTGGGAGGGCATTCAGTAACCACGTCAATCATCCATTAGCACAGTGCCTGCTACAAAGTAGGTGCTTAATATATATTGATTGACCGACAAGCATTTATTAAGCACTTACTATATGCCAAGTACTGTGCTAGGCCTATAGGTACAATGAATGAAACAGTCTTTGCCTTCAGGGAGTTTAGGTTCTAATTAATTAAACCTATATTAACAAAGAACCTACTATGTGCTGGCCTCAGAACCTGGAAGAACTGGGTTCAGATCCTGCCTCTGAAGCAGACTGGCTGTGTGAATTGGATGGAGTCACTCAGCCTCTCCACGGAGTCTCAGAGAAGGGGCCAACCTGAATTGGATGAAGTAATTTCCTCACGTGGCAGTTTTCTGTCCCAGTGAATGTTCCTGGCACAATCCTGGGGCTCCGAATACAAAGAAAAAGAATGAAATTATCCCTGCCCTCAAGCAGCTTGTACTCTGTTACCACCCGAGCCTGGTAAAGCACAGGGCAGACCCATTCCTCTCTGGTTTCTGGCAGTATCTCTAAAGGAGTAGAGCTGAGCCTGGGCTTTGGGGAGCTGTCAGCCTTTCCAGGAGGGTCCAGGCCTTCCTCAGGATTCCTCCAAGGGCTCCCTGCCCTCTAGGCTCAGGCCTTTCCCCTTCCACCAGCTGTTAAGCTTGCCCAACAATGCTTCATTCTTGCTCGTCTGTTCAGCTGCCCTGGCTCAGAACCCCCTGGGTCATAGCCCCTCCTGACGGGCCCCCGGCTTCTTCCCCTCCTGCCCTTGGATCTGGGTGCCCGAGCCTGGCCATCTGCTGCTGCTCCGCCCTGGTGACCAGGTCTGCTGTACACCCAAAGCCACCGTCGGTGGGGGAGGACAGACTAGAGGGGCAGAATTAGAAATGAGAATCAAGAAGTACCCACTTCCAGAAAGGGGACCCTTTGCATAAAAGACACTTTACTTTGCAAAGCCCTTCATAATGTTCTCTCTTCATATTAGCTCTGTTTGGCACTCAGAGGATGAGGGGCTTGCCTGGGATCTCACCGTTAGAAAGTGAATGAGGCTGGATTTGAACTCAGGTCTTCCTGATAGCTCCAGGTCTAGAGTTCTGGGCACTGTGGCACTGCCCAGCTGCCTCTGACTTTTCCTGGGCCATGAGCCCCATTAATCAATGTGCCTACCTTGTGCCAGTCATTTTTCAGGCCTGGACAGAACCAGACCCAGGGGCATCCTGACGAATATTTACTTTTTTCCTGAATCTCCTGAAAAGAAAGTTCCCAGCTCTCCCTAGATGCTGTATCCGGTGATTCTGAGGCATTTAAGAAAGGAAAGATTTGGGTTTTTTCCCCTGTGTCCAATGCGAGGCTCCCTCCCTGCCCCCCCAGCCCGTTTCCTCTTGGCCAGGCCTTGGTGGGAGGGAGGCCGGCCCCTTGTACCATCACACGCTGGAGTATCATCACCTCTCCCTCCCCAAGTGAAATGACCCCATTTCCTTTCACTTTTTCTCCCAGGGTCTATTTCTAGTCTCAGTAATTGTTCTAGTTTCTCTCCTTTGGATTCCCTCCAAATTCTCCACACTTCCCATGAAGGCCCAGGACTAGTGACCTCCTCAGGCCTTGGCCTGCAGAGGACCTCTGTGGTTTGGCTAATGCAGGTGACTTGTACTCGGTCAGTACCTGTGGAATGAGTTCAGAGGAGCCTGGGTTCAAATCCTTCCTCAGTTTCCTCATCTGTAGAATGGGGTGGCAATGCTTAGATTTCTTATCTCACCAAATTATTGTGAGGCTTCACTGATAATAAAGCATTTGGTGAACTTAAAAGTGCTCAATCAATGCTGGCTTTACGAAGGAGTGTGCTGGCAAATGTTATCAACCCACTCTTGGAAAAAAAATGGACAAATATTATCTCGTCTCATTACCCCCATTAATTGACTTGTCTAACATACAGCTAACCCATTCAGACTTTTAAATTTAATCTGCATTTATTAACATTTTCTCTGTCGCTTTAAAGTGAGCCCTGATTTTGTACAGTTGGCAAATATCTGAGGCTCACGCTGAAAATTTATTAGTTGGATCTCAGGAGCTGACTCCAGCACACCCCTGGATATGTTATATGTAATGCTTACTGACTTATTATGACTCCTTTGAGAATCCAGGCTTCCTCTACAAAGGTCATTTGGCTAGGGTATTTCCAAAGATGGGGTTGCCACTACCTTACAAAGCAATACATTCCATTGTTGGGCAGGGCTAATTGTTAGAACTTCTCCAGCCTTTCCCCAGGCTGCCCTTGTCCTTTCCTCACTCCCACCTTCTTCTCCTGGAGCTGTTTTTTTGTTTTTTTTTTTAAATCTAGGAGCAGAGAGGAACATTTGCAGCTATTAAATTTCATCTTGTCAGTTTGGCTGGTCATTCCAGATGACATAGTCCTTTTATATCTGGACTCTGTCTTCAGAGGTGCTGGCTAGATATCCCAGGGTTTGGGCATTTAAAGACTTGTTAATAATAGTGGTATTTAAAAAAATGTTTATTAGAAGAGCCAGGCTCAGTCAGGAAGACTTTTGTTCAAGGGCATATCCTGCCAGGGTGACCCTGGGCATATCACTTGATAGCCCAACATCCAGAAGATTCTTGAAGAATTTCAGTTACAGATATGTTGTCAAAATGTACTAGTAAACTGAGTTTCCTCCCATAGGTGCTCCAGACACCAAGAAAATCACAGGCCTAGAGCCCAAAATATTTCATTACAAACCTAATGTGCATCAATAAAATATAAAAATAAAATATTTTAAATTAATAAATAATAATCAATTAATTAATAATAAAATAAGAACAAGAAATAAAGACAAAAATTGGAGGCGAGATGGTGGCACAGATCGAGTGTTGAATATAGAGCCAGAGAGACCCAGGTTCAAATCCCACTTTGGCCACTTCCTAGCTTTCCCCAAAGGAAGCCTAAATAAAAACAGAGGGCACAAAGAGTTCTCACATTTTTGAAATAACAGGTTGGAGGAGTTTTGAAGCTCTGTTAAGGTCTGATGTCACCCACAGCTTCCCCATCCCTCTTCATAGATTCCTGGGCAGACAGAAGGGAACTGGGAATGTGGTGACCCTGCTGGATTGTGGAACAAGAAGGGCCCATGTCAATGAGATCCTAGTTAATGGACTGTCCATGTAAGGGGCCTTAGGTAGGAATGTATCTGAGCTAGGAGCTCTCAACCTGGAGTCCACAGATCCCCAAGGGCTCTGTCAGCAGATGAAGGCCTCAGAAGGTCTATGAACTCAAAAGAGGAAAAGGAGCATCTTTACTTTCATTAATCTTCATCTTCCTTTCATTTTATGCATTCTATATCATGATGCTAAGAAAGGCTCCATCCACAGGCTTCCACAGACCCCCAAAGGCATCTGTGATCCCCCCAAAAGGTTAAGAACTCCTGATTTCTAGACAAAGACTCTGAATCTCTGAGTCAGGAGGGATCTTCTAGTCCCGCCTATATCTGACCAGGAATCCCCTGGCAAACATTCCCCTATGTGTAGTCATCCAGCTTGACGACCTGCAGAGACAGGAACCACCACCTCCCCCGAGGCAGTCCATTCCTTCTTGGGGTGCTCTCTTCCAAGACCTTCATTTTACAGATGGGAAAATTGAGGCCCAGAAGGAGGTAAATAATTTGCCAAAAGCCACAAAGCTACATAGAACTCTGACTTCAAACCCTGATCTCCCGGCTCTGGCTTGGGATTCTTGTCATGGGACCACATAGCCTTTGAGACCCTGATGGGTTTTGCTGGTCATGTTAGCAGAGGTTAGGGATGCGTGTGTGTGTGTGTGTGTGTGTGTGTGTGTGTGTGTGTGTGTGTGTGCCCATGTAGGCTCTGTGGGCTTTCCCTTTGGGTCAGAGCTGATCGGTCACTAGGCCTGGGGGAAAGAGGCTAGGAGGAAACCTTCTCGTGGCTGGATAAGAGGGTGAGAGGGAGCCTTCCATGCCCCTCAGAGGGGAGCTCAGGCTAGGAACCAAAGTGGAAGCTCTATGCCCCCAGGATGGTCTGGCAGAGTGCCTCCTCTCCCGCTGAGAGCTCCAAGGTGTGAGGAGGGAAGAATCTATTCCATTCTGCATCCCCGAGGCAGTGTAGAGAAGTAGGAAGAATGTTGGGCTGAATTGGGGACCTCAGGACCCGAGTTCCAGGCCTGCCTCTTCTATTGGCCCCTTGTGTGACCCTGAGCAGACACTGAGTGTCTCTGGATCTCAGTTTCCTTTTCTGTAAAATGGGGACAGTAATAGCATGAACCTCTCAGGGCTCTTGCAATATATGTAAAGTGCCATAGAAATGCTAGAAATGAATTGAGGCTCCATTTTACAAAGAAAACAGATCACAGATAGCTGGAGAATGACCCTGGATCCTCTGCCTCCAAACCCAGCATGCTCACTTAACCCTGTGGGCCTCAGTTTCCCCATCTGTAAAAGCTATGTCAACTCTTGGTCACTTGGGCTCTTTCCCTGTGAGTCCTAGGCTGGGGTGGGAGGTCCATCTCCTCATTCCTATTTGTCTCCTTGTAGGGGATGAGTTGGAATATATCCGGCCCAACGTCTACCGGAACATTGCTCGACAACTTAACATCTCCGTACAGTCAGAGACCGTGGTGACCGATGCGTTCTTGGCCGTGGCCACTCAGATCTTTGCAGCAGGTAGATGGGGGACCGAGGGGGGGATGGACGGAGCTCCCTCCTGCTGGGATCTGCACAGGGTGGGGCTTGGGCTGTGGAAGGCTGGCAGGGTGATCTGCACTAATGATTTTCACGTGCCCGAGTGCATTCCTTGGAGGTTACATGTCTGTAGGTGGGGTAATGACCTGTCATCCCAGGGAGGAGGCCGACCTCATCAGTCACTGGTCACCTCTCCCGCTCTTTGCAGACAAGCCCCAAGCTGTCTCATCAGGACTGGGAGCCTCTCATAAGCAGATGAATGAATGCATGGATGAATGAATGAGCGAATGTAGGAAGTAAATGGCTGAACAAGCTTGTATTAAGTGCTTATGTTAATTAATTAATAATTAGCTAATTGATAATTAGCAGTAAGCTAAACCCTGGCGATACAAATGCTAAATCGAGAGAGCCCTTGCCCCTAAGAAGCTTCCACTCTAACAGAAGGAGACGACACATGTTGGGGTGTGGGGGCCAAGGCAGTGAGTGGGGACACAGGACTGTTTTTTGATTCACTCTTTCCAGAAACAACAGTGGTATTGATTAGATTAGAGAACTGTTGTGGTTTAGTGGACAGTGTTCTGGACTTGGGAGACAAGAACGCCTGAGTTCAAATCCCTCCTCAGGCTTTTACTAGCTGGGGGAGTTCCTTACTGTCTCCTCGCTATGGCTTCCTCATCTTTAACGCGAGGGCGTTAGACTAGAAGGGGGTCTAAGGTCGCTTCTGACTCTAGATTTCCCGTCACGGTATGATCTCGATACACTCTTAAGATCGGGTGGGGAGGGGAAGGATCGGCCGTAGAGGCCGGGGTGAAAGGGCAGATGGCCAGGCACAAGGTTGGCTGCGATTTGGGGCTGTGCTGGAGCTGCTACCAGCGCAGGGGCACCGATTGCTCCGTCTCCAACGTGAGCGACGCTAGCAATCCAGGCTCAGTGGATTGTTTTGTTGATCACCTAGACTTCAGAAACTCGTGGAGAAAATGTTAGTAATGGGTATTAAACTTTAAAGTGTGCCGGTTACTAGACATTTACCGGCACATCCCTAGACTGGAAGAGTGGTTTCATCTGGTAGAGGCCAGCTATAGCAGCCAGGGAAGTTTGTATTCAGTCGCCAACCAGGACGGTTTAGTCCCAAGTCAGGAGTTCCACAGCTGGGGCTTAACTTTGGGGGGGTGGGAGTGTCCTGGGGGCACAAATTCTGGAGATCTAGGAAAGAAGGCATTGTCACGTGGGGAGAAGTGGGGTGGCTGTTGCACGGTAGATGGCAAGGTGGCCCGAGTGGACAACTCAGGACATGGAGGGGCTGTGGATGGAGGGGCAGCCTCAACCCAAAACACCTGGGTTCCAGTCCTGCCTTGGACGCAGCCTAGCCGGGAGACCCTGGGGAGGGGAGTCACTCATTCTCTCTGGGTCCCAGGCACCTCTCTGAGATTGTACATTGCAGACCAATTGCTGATTGCCACGGATGGGAGGAATCTCCACACTGTGTATAATGAAGACATCGATCACGGTTTAGGACCAAAACCTAAAGCTTAAAAAGCTACCCCATGGTACTTAGGACTGAAAGGGAAATTATAGAGGTGGACAGGTGGCATCCTCTCCTTCCCTGATGGAGACTGACCTCCCCAAGCTGGGGGTGGGTCACTCTCCTTCCCCAGGACGGTGCCACTGAATAGCCTCCTGTCTGGTTTTCAGGAAGGCCCAGTAAATAGCTGACTCAGAAAGGCCAAACCTCATGGATGAGTGGGTCCACGTATTTTGTCCTGTTAAAATTTAATTCTGGATGTTGAATCGAGTGTAGATTACAGAACCATGCCTTTGGAGACATCTAGCTCTCCTGGGCCGTCCAGCCTTGGTGTGGCCCAGCCCAGTAGGCTCCCTGGCTGAGGAACCCAGAAGAGACATTAGGAATCCTTTGTTTCTCAGCCCTCATTTGCTTCCCAGAGGCATTTAAAAACGCCCCAGCAGCTGAGAAACAACTTGGCTGGCCTGGCTGGAAACCCACAGCCTCATATCCCCTCCAGACAGATTTTCCGTTCTGTTCTTTTCTGAGGAAGACCTGAGCCAGCAGGGGCTGGTGTCTGGAATGAGAATGATGGCACTGGGAGCTGAGCTTGGCTAATGCACAGCTCTCTCGGGAGGGACCGGGAACCCTCTTCTCATCCTCGGGGAATGTATGTGGGGCTCCTCACCAGGAGTAGTGCCCAGGCCTCAAGCTGTCTGAGGTCCGGGGGTGAGCTGAGTCATCCTCAGGGCTTGCTCCACTCTGACTGAGGTCACCAGGCCTCGACGGACTGGCAGTGGGTGTAACAGTGGCCGTCAACATTCCTTTATCAATGTCCTTCATTTCCCATGAAAGGAAAGGGGGTAATTGTGGTATAAAATTCATGGAAAGTTTCCACATGTTTGAGCAGAAATATGCAATTGTATTCCAATTTTTCCTTTTCTTATTGTAACATGACTGGTCAGTGGGAGACATACACACTTGAATGTTAAAACATTAACTAAATGAGAGAGAGAAGGAGAGAGAGAGAGGGAGAGAGAGAGAGAGAGAGAGAGAGAGAGAGAGAGAGAGAGAGAGAGAGTTCAAATTCTGGACTTTCCTGGCAAAGCTGTGCACAAGAGCCTGAGAAATACCTTGCTGGGCATTTTTGTTTTTGTTTTTGTTTCAAAATACGTGTTTTATTGTGATTTAGAAGCAGCTAGGTGGCTCAGTGGGTGTCGAGTCAGGAGGAACTGAGTTCAAATCCAGCCTCAGACACTTACTAGCTATGTGACCCTGGACAAGTCATTTAACCTCTGTTTGCCTCAGTTTCTGCAGCTATAACACGGGGATAATAATAGCAGCTACCCTGCAGGGTTACTCTGAAGATCAAGAAAATATTTGTGAATCACTTAGCATAGTGCCTGGCACATAGAAGGAAGGCACTTCATAAATGCTTATTTTTCCCTTCCCCCGCTGCCATTGATATAGGTATTTAAATATTTAGAAATAATCAGTATTTAAAAATATGAGCAGGAGGATAGAGAGAGAGATTGGACAGGTAACTTCATTGAATTTGAAACTCCCAGGTGAGGAAATTTCTCTACTAATATGAATCAACATCTTCTCTGCAATTTATAACCTTCAAGTTGTTTCAATTTGCATTTCTCTAATTATTAATGATTTAGAGCATTTTTCATATGGCTATTGATAGCTCTGATTTCTTCTTCTGAAAACTGTCCATTCATATCCTTTGAACATTTATCAGTTGGGGAATGGTTCTTATTCTTGGAAATTTGATTTTTTTATGTGTTTGATTTTGAAACGAGACCTTTATCAGAGAAACTTATGGCAAAGATTTTCCCCCACTTTCTTGCTTTTCTTTTAATTTTGGTTGCAATTGTTTCATCTGCACAAAATCTTTTTAACTTTATGTAGTCAGAATTATTCATTTTAGCTCTTATAAACCTCTCTATCTCTTGTTTGGTCATGAACTTTTTCCTTATCCTTATTGTCCAAGAAATCATTTTTTTCTATGCTCCACTAATTTACTTATATCATCCTTTCTGTCTAAAATCATGTACTGATTTTGAGCTTGTCTTGGTAGATGGTATGAAATACTGGTCTATGCCTAGTTTCTGTCAGACTGCTTTCCAGTTTTTCCACCAGTTTTTGTCAAAGAATGAGTTCTTATCTAATAGCTTCCATCTTTGGGTTTATCAAACTCTAGTTTACTGTATTCTTTGCATATTGTGTTTACTTCTACGTATCGAGTACCTAATCTTTTCCCTTGATCAACCTCTCTACTTATCCAATCCAACCAGAGAGTTTTAATGATTAAAACTTTTTAATATAGTTTGAAATCCGATACTGCTAGTTCACATTCTTTCTCTTTTTTTTTCATTTATTTCTTAGTATTTTTGGCCTGATGTTAAATTATTTTTTCTAGCTCTATAAAGTAATTATTTAGTAGTTTGATTAGTATGAAGCTCAGCAAGTAAACTAATTTAGGTGATATTGTCATTTTTATTATATTGATTTGGCCTCCCCATAAGCAATTAGTATTTCGCCAATTATTTAGATCAGTGATTTGTAATTGTTCTTATATAGTTCTTGTGTGTGTCTTGGCAGGTAGACTCCCAAGTATTTCTTACTGTCTGTAGTTACTTGAAATGGAATTTCTCTTTCTATCTCTTCCTGCGGGGTTTTGTGGATAACATATAGAAATGCTTCTTCCTTCCACCTTCTCCCAATGCATCCTTCTTCTCCACCCTTCCATTATTCTTTTGAGATTATCTAAACATAAGAGTCACATCCAAGCCCTCTGCCTAATCAGACTCCCTCTAAGATCCCTGGTGATGATAAAGTTTTCAGGGATTATATGTTTCATATTCCCATATAAAAATGTAAACAGTTTAAACTTAGTCTCTTACGATTTTTCACTCATATCTACCTTTTCATACTTTTCTTGAGTACTGCGTTTGAATGTCAGATTTTCTACTCAGCCCTGGTCTTTTTATCAGGACTGCTTGAAAGTCCTCTATTTCATTAAATATCAATTTTTCTCCTTGTTGAACTGTACTTAATTGTGCTGGGTAAGTTATTCTTGGTTGTAATCCTAGATCCTTTGCCTTATGGAATATCATATTACAAAACCTCTGTTCAATTGTAACTGAAAAACTAAGCTGTTTAAGCTATTTTTTTTAATCATAGCTTTCCAGTAGTCCAACTATTCTTAAATTATCTTTTCTTGATGTATTTTCCAGGTCAGTTATTTTTCCTATGTAATATTTCACTTTTTTGGGGGGTGGGGGTGGCTAGGCAATGGGGTTAAGTGACTTGCCCAAGGTCCCACAGTTAGTAAGTGTTAAGTGCACAGATTGGATTTCAGCTCAGGTTCTCCTGACTCCAGGGCTGGTGCTCTATCCACTGCGCCACCTAGCTGCCCCAGATATTTCACATTTTCTTCTATTTTTTTTTTTTTAGTCTTTTGACTTTGTCG